AGTCCTTTTCCTTTCCCCCCTCACCAGCCTCAGTCCTTTCTCCCCCCAGCAGCCTCAGTCCTTTTCCTTTCCCCCTTCAGCAGCCTCAGTCCTTTTCCTTTCCCCCCCTCCTCAGCATCCTCAGTCCTTTTCACCCTCAGCAGCCTCAGTCCTTTCCCTTTCCCTCCTCAGCATCCTCAGTCCTTTTCACCCTCAGCAGCCTCAGTCCTTTCCCTTTCCCCCCTCAGCATCCTCAGTCCTTTTCACCCTCAGCAGCCTCAGTCCTTTTCCTTTCCCCCTCAGCACTTCAGTCCTTTTTCTTTCCCCCCTCAGCAGCCTCAGTCCTTTTCCTTTCCCCCTCATCAGCCTCAGTCCTTTTCCTTTTCCCCTTCAGCAGCCTCAGTCCTTTTCCTTTCCCCCCTCAGCAGCCTCAGTCCTTTTCTCCCCCCCCCATCAGCCTCAGTCCCTTTCCTTTTCCCCTCAGCAACCTCAGTCCCTTTCCTTTTCCCCTTTAGCAGCCTCAGTCCTTTCCCTTTCACCCTTCAGCAGCCTCAGTCCTTTCCCTTTCACCCTTCAGCAGCCTCAGTCCTTTTTTCCCCCCTCAGCAGCCTCAGTCCTTTTCCTTTCCCCCCTCAGCAATCTCGGTCCTTTTCCTTTCCCCCCTCAGCAGCCTCAGTCCTTTTCCTTTCTCCCCTCAGCAGCCTCAGTCCTTTTCCTTTCTCCCCTCAGCAGCCTCAGTCCTTTCCCTTTCCCCCCTCAGCAGCCTCAGTCCTTTTCCTTTCCCCCCTCAGCAATCTCGGTCCTTTTCCTTTCCCCCTCAGCAGCCTCAGTCCTTTTCCTTTCCCCCCTCAGCAACCTCAGTCCTTTTCCTTTCCCTCCTCAGCAGCCTCAGTCCTTTCCTTTCTCCCCTCAGCAGCCTCAGTTCTTTTCCTTTCCCCCCTCAGCAACCTCAGTCCTTTTCCTTTCCCTCCTCAGCAGCCTCAGTCCTTTCCTTTCTCCCCTCAGCAGCCTCAGTCCTTTTCCTTTCCCCCCTCAGCAACCTCAGTCCTTTTCCTTTCCCTCCTCAGCAGCCTCAGTCCTTTTCCTTTCCCCCCTCAGCAGCCTGAGGCCCTTAAGCCACTTAAGCAACTGAGGGGGAAAAGGAAGGGGCCTGAGGCTGCTAGGAATGGTGCGAGTTTAAGTCCAAAACACCTGGAGGGCCCAAACTTGCCCACACCTGATATTAGGTGTATAGTTTGTGTTTTGTGTTTTTCCAAAACCCTCGCTTCCAAAATATTTACGGGGCTGGAACGAAGCTGGACCCCTTTTGCATCTCGCCATTCCAAATTCCGCCATGCTATTCCGTTTTGTGATCAGGGTTTCTCCAAACCACAGTAGTTTCCAGTCATACCTTTCCGTCGATACGAAAGTATTGCCTCTAGGAAGACCGTGTTCTCAGGACGCTGCTCTAACTAAAAATGTACTTCGGAGAGAAATGTTACTTTTAGCAAAAGGGCCATATTTGCAAATCTGCACTCAGCTGAAACTCCATTTCAGTGGAAGCGCTTCCAAGTGTGTTCTGCATCATTCGTTTTTGGTCTCCACTGCTTTCGTATCATGGAGTCCTTCCACCTGGAAGAGCTTCTTGCGTGCTTGTATTGTCCCAACGAGAAAGGCTTTGTTTCCCTCTTTTTTGTAGGGAGAGAAAGACCTCCTTTGCAACTGCAGACTCAAGGGAGTACAATCCAGAATCATGTCACTTCATACGTTATCCCATTTGCAAACAGCGCTTATAGACCTCAAGCCAACGTATTGGGGAAGGAGTCTTTTTTTAACTTCTCCTTACTTTCTTTTTATAGAATTCACGTCACAGCATTCCATTGTATGGCTATAAAACAGGAAAACAAACAAGACCCCGATGCATTGCGTATTTATTTCCTATTGAAGCATATTAAAAAAAAAAAGATGCAGAGGTGGTTTTGTAGCTCGGTGGGTTTTGCTGAGCTGTACTTTCTTTTTGGAGGAAAAAGAAATCCAAACAGTACTGTAATGTATATATGTAACTTGTACAGTCTTTTCCTTAACCTACTTTTTTGGGAATTGTGTTTCCTTTTAACTAATACTTGACCTATAGTTCTTAGAGCTTTGTATGGCGAAAATAAAAAAAGCTTTTAATTCTACCAAAGTGACGTTGGTTATTTCCCCCTCAGAAGCCTCAGTCCTTTCCTTTTCCCTCCTCGGCAGCCTCAGTCTTTTCCTTTCCCCCCCTTGGCAGCTTCAGTCCTTTTTCTTTCCCCCCTCAGCAGCCTCAGTCCTTTTCCTTTCCCCCTCATCAGCCTCAGTCCTTTTCTCCTTCAGCAGCCTCAGTCCTTTTCCTTTTCACCCTCAAGAGCCTCAGTCCTTTTCTCCTTCAGCCGCCTCAGTCCTTTTCCTTTCCCCTTCATCAGCCTCAGTCCTTTTTCTTTTCACCCTCAAGAGCCTCAGTCCTTTTCCTCCCCCCCCCCCGTCATCAGCCTTAGTCCTTTTCCCCCTCAGCAGCCTCAGTCCTTTTCCTCCCCCCAGCATCCTCAGTGCTTTTCCTTTCCCCCCTCAGCATCCTCAGTCCTTTTCCTTTCCCCCCTCAGCATCCTCAGTCCTTTTCCTTTCCCCCCTCAGCATCCTCAGTCCTTTTCCTTTCCCTCCTCAGCATCCTCAGTCCTTTTCCCCCTCAGCAGCCTCAGTCCTTTTCCTCCCCCCAGCATCCTCAGTGCTTTTCCTTTCCCCCCTCAGCATCCTCAGTCCTTTTCCTTTCCCCCCTCAGCATCCTCAGTCCTTTTCCTTTCCCCCCTCAGCATCCTCAGTCCTTTTCCTTTCCCTCCTCAGCATCCTCAGTCCTTTTCACCATCAGCAGCCTCAGTCCTTTTCCTTTCCCCCCTTAGCATCCTCAGTCTTTTTCCTTCCCCCCTCAGCAGCCTCAATCCTTTTCCTTTTCCCCCTCAACAGCCTCAGTCCTTTTCCCCTTCTGCAGCCTCAGTCTTTTTCCTTTCCTCCCTTGGCAGCCTCAGTCCTTTTACTTCCCCCCCCCCCCCCCCCCCCCCCCCTCCCTTGGCACCCCCAGTCCCCCCCCCCCCCCCCCAACAGCCTCAGTCCTTATCCTTTTCCCAGTGGGTGGTTTGTGAGTATTTTAACCCAGAGATGCAAACCTGTGCCTAGGGTTTGTACTGATTACACAACCTTTGGGGATGATTGCATCGTCCCAAGAAACCCAAGCCTCTCAACAAAATTGTCACCACTTTTATTTTGATTTTATAAATTCATATGCAGAAGGTGTATGGGTTGTCTATATTACATTCCCAGCAGAAATGGATTTCAGGATGGATAACAGTGCATATGACCTATTTACATGGAGAGTTCACCTATATACACGCCTCCCGAGTCCAAGATAACGGGCGTCACTGCCTCTTAAAGAAAGTGGCAATTATGAGTCTTCCTAGAGGAGGGCTCCTCAAACCTTTTAAGCTGTTCGCGGTCCCTGAGACGATTGGGAGGCCGGGCTTTTGTTTGGAAAAAAACCACACCGGATTCCCATGCGCGCTGCACTTGTCTTTTCTGGAGTGCAGAAAAAACGGAATAATAATACAACGTTTAAAATGAAGGACAATTTTAACCAATGTAAACGTAGCCAGGATTTCAATGGGAAGTGTGGGCCTGCTTTCGGTTGATGAGAGAATCAAGTTAATTAGGGTTGTATGTTTTCGTTTCAGACTTAGGGCGGCCCTAAGGCAAGCCTCCTTTTTCCTTCCTTTCTTCCTTCCTTCCCCTTCTTTTTCTTTTTCTCTTCTCCCCATTTCCCTTTTCAGCCTTTTCCTTTTGCTCTTTCTTTCCTCTCTTCATTCCCTCTTCCTTTTTCTCATTCAATCCCTCCTTTCCTTTCTTTTCCTTTCCATCTTTCATTCTCTTGTCCTTCCTTTCCCCCTTCCCTTCCTTTCTTCATTTCTTCCCTTCCCTTTTCTCCTTCAATCTTTCCTTTCACCCTCCTTCCATTTTTCCTTTCTCCCTTTTTATTTTTCTCCCCCTTTCCCTTCCTTTTTTCTCTTTTTTTTGTTCTTCCTTCCCTTTCCTTCTTTTTCTCCTTAATTACTTCCTTTCACCCTCCTTCCCTGTTTTTCCTTTCTCACACCTTTTTTCTCCCCTCTTTCTCTTTTTCTCTTCCATTTCCCTTTCTTCCTCCTCTTTTTGCGCTTCCTTTCCTTTTCTTATTCAATCCCTCCTTTCCTCCTTCCTTCCCAACTTTCCTTCTCTTTCCTCCCTCCCTTCCCTTCCTCCCTCTTCCTTCCTTTCTTTATTCCCTCTCTGTTCTCCTTCCTTCCTTCCCTCCCTCCCTCTTTTCCTCCCTTTCTTTATTCCCTCTGTTCTCCTTCCTTCCTTCCTTCCTTCCTTCCCTCCCTCCCTCCCTCCCTCCCTCCCTCCCTCCCTTTTTCTCCCTTTCCTTCCTTCCTTCCTTCCTCCTTCCTTCTCCTCTCCTCCTTCTCCCCTTTCTTCCCTTCTTCCCCTTTCTTCTTCACTTCCCTCCCTCTCCGGCCTTCTTCCTGTCCTGTCCATTCCTCATTCCTTCCATACTTTTACACGTGTCGAGATTTGTTCACCGCCATACCTCAGACAATCACTACCATCCATCCCTGCTTTCCACCGTCCTTTTTCTCCCTCTTTCCTTCTTCCCTTTCTTCCTTCCTTCCCTTCCTTCCTTCCTTCCCTCCTCCCTCCTCCTCCCTCCTCTTTTCCTCCCTTTCTTTATTCCCTCTCTGTCCCTTCCTTCCTTCCTTCCTTCTCTTCCTCCTTCCTTCCTTCCTTCCTTTCCTTCCTTCCTTCTTCCACTCCCTCCTCCTCCCTCCTTCCTCCTCTTTTCCTTCCTTTTTTTTCTCCTCTCTCTTCCTCTTTCTCTCTCCCTCCCTCCCCCTCCCTTCTTTCCTCCTTTAGTTTTCCTTCACTTGTCTTTATTCCCTATTTGATCCGCTTCCTTCCTCCCTCGCTTGTTTTCTTTCTTCTATTCTTCCCTTCCTCTTTTCCTTCCTTTTCAATTGCTCCCTTTTCTCCTTCATTCCCTCTTCCCTTTCTTCTCTCTCTCCCTCTCTCTTCCTTCCTTCCTTCCCTTTGGCTATGGCATGAGTGGGGAATAATGATAATAACAACAGGCCGGGAGAAAAGCCTTGACGGGCCGGATGTGGCCCGTGTGCCTTGGCCTGAGGGCATCTGTTCAAGATGATGAACTGCAGCACGCAGCCCTCCTGACCATGGACTGTTCTGCCTCTGGTTGCTGGGCATTGTTGTCCAACAACATCCCACCCTCCTCCTAAACGGGCAACCCTAAAGCCATCTATACAATCTCTTTGGCACTCAATAACAATGACATGTCAGTTTACTGTCGGACAGAAGGAATCCCTGACATCTTTCCCTTCTTATTTACAAAATACTACACAAGCTGTGAGCTTTTAGCATGGGAACAATAAGGCAGGGGGATTTTGGCAAAAAGGATAGAAAACTGACTAAGAGCTGCATGGCTGCAAATGGCAAAATGGCTGCAAATGGCATTTTAGTGGCTTGATGCAAGAATGTGCCCAGTTCAGCGCCGGATGATATAATAAAAGTCTTTTTTGAAAAACAGTGTGATGTGGCATGGATGCTGCTAATGCATGATAAGCGTGTTGCAATATTCCCGGATGCACAAATGCCCCGGCAATCACAATAACACACTTTGACGGCTAATGCGGGTCTCAAAGCCCATCTGAACATAACAGCTCCCGTCAAGGAAAGTTGTCAGCGAGAGAGACGTTCGAGAGAGACGTTGCAAAGACGCCCTGTGTTGTATATCGATATCTGCTGATGCGGTGGCGACGGACTCCAGTCCGAAAAGGTCTGCAACCAGTTCCAGTGGGCACGCAACTCCTACGGCGTGTACGGTGGTGGCTTCTCGAAAGGAGGAAAGTATGGTGGGGAGTAACGGGGAGGTGCCGTGGGCGTCCACACGTAACTCGGCGACGGCGATAAGGACGGAGGCTCATCCGACAGCCCCGATGGCACGGAGGCCTGGAACAGGGTGGAATGCTGCAATGAACAAGAGAAAGAAAGAGGCATGTAGTGACGCCCCAAAGAGAGATGCAGAATGGATCCCTCCTGAAATGGGGAGAGGGCCTTCTTTAGGGAATGGCTTGCGCTGCTTGCATCCTAGCAAAGGGCAAAGAGACCTTATGGCAACGGGCCGTCCCCAAGTTACAAACATCCCACTTACAAATGAACGGGGCTGAGACAACAGGAAGGGAGAGGAATCTACTTCTAGGAAGGGAAATCCATTCCTGGAAGAGTTATGGTCATGGGAAAGGGGGTCTCCATTGGAGCTTTATCCCCAATCCTTTATTCCCAATCCAAACAAGCGACATTTTCCAAAAGGCCAATTCTCAGAAGGGACAGAGAGTTTCATCTATGCTGATGATCATGCCATTACTGCTCAAGCAGGGAGCTTTGAGATGGTTGAACAGAAGCTTTCCGAAGCTCTAGGTGCTCTTACTGCCTATTACAGGGAAAACCAGCTGATCCCCAACCCATCTAAAACACAGACATGTGCCTTTCATCTCAAGAACAGACAAGCATCCCAGCTCTGAGGATTACCTGGGAAGGAATCCCACTGGAGCATTGCAGCGCACCCAAATACCTGGGAGTCACTCTGGACCGTGCTCTGACCTACAAGAAGCACTGCCTGAATATCAAGCAAAAAGTGGGTGCTAGAAACAATATCATACAAAAGCTGACTGGCACAACCTGGGATCACAACCAGACACAGTGAAGACATCTGCCCTTGCGCTATGCTACTCTGCTGCTGAGTATGCATGCCCAGTGTGGAACACATCTCACCACGCTAAAACAGTGGATGTGGCTCTTAATGAGACATGCCGCATTATCACAGGGTGTCTGCGCCCTACACCACTGGAGAAATTACACTGCCTAGCCGGTATTGCACCACCTGACATCCGCCAGGAAGTAGCAGCCAATAGTGAAAGGACCAAGGCAGTGACATCTCCAGCTCATCCTTTGTTTGGGTACCAGTCAGCACGTCAACGACTTAAACTAAGATCTACAGAGACACTCGCTGGAACACCTCAGCAAGCAAGAGTCCAAAAGTGGCAGGCTCAAACTCAGCACCTCAATCCGTGGTTGATACCAGACTCCCCCCTGGGCACACAGAAGACGGGATGAGTTGGAAGGCGCTGAACAGACTGCGCTCTGGCACCACGAGATGCAGAGCCAACCTCAAGAAATGGGGCCACCAAGTAGAATCCTCGATATGCGAGTGTGGAGAAGAGCAAACCACTGACCACCTGCTGCAATGCAACCTGAGCCTTGCCACATGCACCATGGAGGACCTTCTTGCGGCAACACCAGAGGCACTCCAAGGGGCCAGATACTGGTCAAAGGACATCTAATCAACAACCAAGCTTGCAAACTTTGCGTTTTTTTATGTGTTTGTTTGTTTTGTTCTGTTAGAAATGTAATACAACGGTCTGGTTGCCCCTGACACGATAAATAAATAAATACAGGGACAGAGAATGAGGTGGAATCTTCTGAGCAGATGTACACAGAAGAGGGATCTGCTCAAACAACGCTAAAACTTTATTCATCCATCTTTGGTTTTCAGTTTAATACAAGCAGTTCCCAAGCAACAAACGTGATTGGTTCCGTAGGTTTGTTCTTAAGTTGAATTTGTAAGTCGGAATACACACACACACACACACACACACAAAGCTAATATATATAAAGACCTTGTAAGATTTTGGTAAACAAGGTAAAGGTTTTTCCCCTGACGCATCCGACTCTGGGGGTTGGTGCTCATCTCCATTTCTAAGTCTGAAGACACCTCCAAGGTCATGTGGACACTGGCATGACTGCACGGAGCGCCGCTACCTTCCCGCCGAAGTGGTACCTATTGATCTACTCACATTTGCATGTTTTCAAACTGCTAGGTTGGCAGAAGCTGGGGCTGACAGCGAGAGCTCACCCTGCCCCCCGGATTTGAACCTGTGACCTTTCGATCAGCAAATTCAGCAGCTCAGTGCTTTAACCCACAACACCACTGGGGCTCCTATACATCTATATCTATATCAAGATGGATGGATGGGATCCTCGAAGTGACTGGATTGACCTTGAAGGAGCTGGGGGTGGTGACGGCCAACAGGGAGCTCTGGTGTGGGCTGGTCCATGAGGTCACGAAACGACTGAACGAATGAACAACAAATATCAGAAACAACAATAAAACAATACATCAAGACACAATAAAACTGGGCTAATGCGGGTCTCAAAGTGCTGATGTGGCAGGAGGTATGCAGGATTATAAGTAAGTAGAGTGTGCAGAGTGTAGCTATCTTAATTCTGCTAAAGTGCTTATGGGACTTGGTATTGGAGGTTCCTAATCTGGGAAGGCACATCGGAACAGCCAGGTCTTCAAGTTCTTTCTGAAGTGTCTCGAGTCCCCACCAAGCGCGCTTGCGACGCAGGCGGGATCACGAGCAGGGCCTCTCCAGATGACCGAAGTGAACGCGTGGGTTCGTAGATGGAGATGCGGTCACACAGGTAGGATGGTCCCAAACCATTCAGGGCTTTGTAGGTAAGCACCTGCACCTTAAATTGGGCTCGGAAAATAAACGGCAGCCAGTGGAGCTCCTTGACATAGGAGGGTTGACCTCTCTCTGTAAGGAGCCCCAGTTAGCATCCTGGCTGCTGCCCGTTGGACCAGTTGGAATTTCCGAGCCGTTTTCAAGGGCAGCCCTACGTAGAGCGCATTGCAGTAATCCAACCTAGAGGTGACCAAGGCATGGACCACCCCTGCCAGATCAGCCTTCGAGATATATATATATGTGTGTGTGTGTGTATATATATATATATATATAGAGAGAGAGAGAGAGAGTCTGCAGTTACCGTTATGAAATGTCCCTGTTCCGACTTATATACAAATTCTACTTAAGAACAAACCTACCGAACCCCCCTTGTTCGTAACTTGGGGACTGCCTGAAGTACACCTTTCCAGTCTTGGGGGGATTCAGAAATGAGGCCCAAGGATGCTAGTGATGTTAATTGGTGTTATTGTGTTATTACATGCTGAATATCCCTCGTAGGAGTTGCAGTTTGGTGAGGCATCAGCATTCTTAGAGAAGACATTGTGAAATTACAACTCTTATGATTCCCAAGCTTTAAAGTGGTAATTCAACAGTGAAGTTGCACCCTTGGCCTCAAATCCTGAGCTTCCTTAGAGAAACAGATAGTGGTCAATTTATTAGTCAACGGTTGTCGGTGGCCAAAGAGCAGCAGGTTGCCTGCAAAGCAAAGAAGGCCAACCGTAGCACCAGTGGTTGATGCACTTTCCCGGGGGCCACCTACCTGGAAGTCATATGCTGAATATGGCGGCAGGTGGGGCGTGCTGTGGTAGTATGTGTTGTACGACGTCACTTGGGGTCTCGAATAGTAGGAAACGGCTGGACGTGGGTTTTCGGCTGCGCAGTTAAGAGCCGGGAGCGAGGGAGTCTGCAGATAGAACGGAGAAAAGACAAAACGTGGTTGGTAGACCGAACGGAAGAGACGAGACTGGGAAATGGCCAGAGGGATCTGAGAAGAGAGGCGAATCCTATCCACTTTTGATTCCTGGACAAACCATTTAGGACTTGCAAAATAACACTAGGCAAACAACTTTTGAAAAATGTTTTGTTCCTGGTTTGAAAGTATTATTCCTGTTTCATTGTGTTGTTGTTGTTATTGTTGTTGTTGTTGTTTTCCTCTCGAAACTGCTTGAGACTCATTGGGAAAAATATAACAAAATGTGGCATAGCAGGAGGTCCAGCCAAAACAAAGTTTTTGCAAACTTTTCCAATGTTTTGATGACAGAACCAATTAGGAAACGATGTTTATAATCCAGGAACAAACATTGTGTAACACAAGTGTAATACGTTGAGCCTAAAATAGCATTAAAACCAAGGGTTTGAATGGATACATCAGCCCTGAATCAACCGTATCAAACCTTCTCTGTTTGGGAACAGTCAGGGCACGAACTGCAGTTCGAACATCTGAAAGCAAACTAGACTCACACCCATCATTCTCAGCCTTTGACTCTTCCAAAGAGTTTGGACTCCAATGCCCAGAATTCCTTACCACTAATCATTTTGGCTAGGGCTTCTGGAAAATGAAATACAACAAACCTGAAGGCTAAAATCTGCTAACTATTGCTTTAGTTTGGTCTTCCAGGTATTTTACATTTCATTTTCTGATCACTGGAGACCTTGGTGGCGCAGCGGGTTAAACTGCTGAGCTGCTGAACTTGCTGACCGAAAGGTCGGCGGTTTGAATCTGGGGAGTGGGGTGAGCTCCTGCTGTTAGGCCCAGCTTCTGCCATACTAGCAGTTCGAAAACATGCCAATGTGAGTAGATCAATAGGTACTGCTTCAGAGGGAAGGTAACGGCGTTCCATGCAGTCATGCTGGCCACATGACCTTGAAGGCGTCTATGGACAACACCGGCTCCTTGGTTTAGAAATGGAAATGAGCACCAGAGTTGGACACATCGGGGAAAAACCTTTACCTTTACTTTTCTGATCACTGGAGTCTAAAACACCTGGGAGACTAAAGCTGGGGAAAGTACTGCTTTAGATTATATTGACACAGATGGAGTCCAGTTCAGCCTAACTTTGCATTTGCCATGACTTTTTTCCTATGCGAAACAACACCAAAATCTGGACCCTACAACGTCATCTTACCATATCTTTGAAGCCGCCCAGGATCGCAGCCGTAATGATCCCCAGGAACAATCCCACGATGTTCAGGATGGTGGCCGACCAGAGCAAATGGTACAGGTGGATGATGTCTTGACAGCTGCTGACGTCGATGTACTCGTAATAGCCGCCGGAAATCTGCACTCTGCTGAACCCAAAGAAGTGCCTGCTTTAAGAGAAATCCCAAGCTCCCGACATGCTCCGTTGCGTAAGGAGGGGAGTCTGCCTTCATTATCAGATGGGAATTAAGATGCTTTCGGCCCTTTACAGCCAGAATAATCAGGCAAGTATGTTGTTTACATTTACACCAATGACCAGCCACTGCTAGAAGGGACAGAGAGTTTCATCTATGCTGACGATCGTGCCATCACCACCCAAGCAGGAAGCTTTGAAACACTTGAACAGAAGCTCTCCAAAGCTTTAGGTGCTCTTACTGCCTCTTATTGTGTCTGTGTCTGTCACCAGACACAGTGAAGACATCTACCCTTGCGCTATGCTACTCTGCTGCTGAGTATGCATGCCCAGTGTGGAACACATCTCACCACACTAAAACAGTGGATGTGGCTCTTAATGAGACATACCGCATTATCACAGGGTGTCTGCGCCCTACACCACTGGAGAAATTACACTGCTTAGCCGGTATTGCACCACCTGACATCCGCCGGGAAGTAGCAGCCAATAGTGAAAGGACCAAGTCAGTGACATCTCCAGCTCATCCCCTGTTTGGGTATCAGCCAGCACGTCAACAACTTAAATCAAGAAATAGTTTTCTAAGATCTACAGAGACACTCGCTGGAACACCCCAGCAAGCGAGAGTCCAAAAGTGGCAGGCTCAAACTCAAAACCTCAACCAATGGCTGATACCAGATGAGAGACTCCCCCCTGGGCACGCAGAAGACTGGGCGACTTGGAAGGCGCTGAACAGACTGCGCTCTGGCACCACGAGATGCAGAGCCAACTCAGAAATGGGGCCACAAAGTGGAATCCACGACATGCGAGTGTGGAGAAGAGCAAACCACTGACCACCTGCTGCAATGCAACCTGAGCCCTGCCACATGCACAAGGGAGGACCTTCTTGCGGCAACACCAGAGGCACTCCAAGGGGCCAGAGACTGGTCAAAGGACATTTAATCCACTACCAAACTCACAAATTTTGTATTTTGTCTGTTTGTTTGCTTTGTTCTGTTAGAAATGTAGTACAATTGACTGGTTGCCCTGACACGACAAATAAATAACAGGAAAAAACAGCTGATTTCTAATCTGTCTGAAACACAGACGTGTGCTTTTCACCGTAAGAACAGACAAGCATCTTGAGCTCTGAGGATGACCTGGGAAGGAATCCCACTGGAGAATTGCAGCACACCAAATACCTGGGAGTTACCCTGGACCGTTCTCTGACCTACAAGAAGCACTGCCTGAATATCAAGCAAAAAATATTGAAACATATTATTATTATTATTATTATTATTAACTTTATTTGTACCCCGCTAGCATCTCCCGAAAGACTCGATGCGGCTTACACGGCCGAAGCCTCAAACACAATACAAAAGAAACATAACACAACAGTAAATAAAGCAAATCAAAACAATTAAGCAAAATAAACCACAATGACAATACATCAGGACACTATTAAAAAACTGGTTCGGCCGGCGCAGTGGGGTACAGGGATTAAAAGTGCTGAAATGGCAGGAGGAACGTAGGATTAAAGTGTGGTGTGCAGCAACATTGGTTATGCTAAGGTGCTTCTAGGACCTGGGATGGGGATTCCTAGTCTGGGAAGGCACAACGGAACAGCCAGGTTTTTAACTTCCTTCTGAAAACGGCTAGAGTGGGGGCCTGTCTGAGATCTTTTGGGAGGGCGTTCCAAAGTCTGGGGGCCGCCACGGAAAAGGCCCTGTCACGCGTCCCCACCAAGCGCGCTTGCGACGTGGGTGGGATCACAAGCAGGGCTTCTCCGGATGACCGTAGCGAGCGTGTGGGTTCGTAGATGGAGATGCGGTCACGCAGGTAGGGTGGTCCCGAACCGTTTAGGGCTTTGTAGGTAAGCACCTGCACCTTGAATTGGGCCCGGAAAATAAAAGGCAGCCAGTGGAGCTCCCTAAACAGAGGGGTAGACCTCTCTTGATAGTGAGCCCCAGTTAGCATCCTGGCTGCTGCCCGCTGGACCAATTGAAGTTTCCGGGCCGTCTTCAAGGGCAGCCCCACGTAGAGCGCATTGCAGTAATCCATTCTAGAGGTGACCAAGGCGTGGACCACCCCGGCCAGATCAGCCTTCACGAGGTATGGTCGCAGTTGGCGCACAAGTCTCAGTTGCGCAAAGGCCCTCCCGGATACCGCCGACACCTGAGCTTCAAGTGTAAGCGAGGAATCCAAGAGGACGCCCAAACTGCGGACCTGTGGCTTCAAGGGGAGTGTAACCCCGTCCAACACAGGTAACCACCCTATACCCCGATTCGGTTTGCGATCGACCAGGAGGACCTCTGTCTTGTCGGGATTGATCTTCAGCTTGTTCTTCCTCATCCAGATCGACACAGCGGCCAGGCACTCACCTAGCACCTGAGAAGCCTCCTTGGAATTAGGTGGGAAAGAGTAGTAGAGTTGTGTGTCATCCGCGTAGAGATGGCACCCAACTCCAAAACCCCGGATGACCTCTCCCAGCGGTTTCATGTAGATGTTAAAAAGCATGGGAGATAGAATAGAGCCTTGCGGGACCCCACAGGTCAAAGGCCAGGGGTCAGAGCAGGCATCTCCCAGCTTCACCATCTGAGTTCGTCCCTCCAGGAAGGACTGGAGCCACGACAGAACCGTGCCCCCAAGGCCCATCCCGGAGAGACGACCCAGAAGGATACCATGATCGATGGTATCGAAAGCCGCTGCGATGTCCAAAAGAACCAGCAGAGTCACACTCCCCCTGTCTAGCTCTCTGCGGAGGTCATCCACCAAGGCGACCAAGGCTGTCTCGGTGCCATGGCCAGGCCTGAAACCAGACTGTGACTGATCTAGGTAGTTGGTATCGTCTAGGAAACCCTGAAGCTGAGAGGCGACCACCCTCTCCAGCACCTTTCCCAAAAAGGGGAGGTTGGAGATCGGCCTGTAGTTATTCAGTACCGAGGAGTCAAGGGAAGCTTTTTTGATAAGTGGGCGAACCACGGCCTGCTTCAGGTTAGATGGAAAAATTCCTTGCTCCAGCGATGTATTGATAATCGGTACAACCCAGTCAAGCAACCCCCCTCTGGCTGATTTAATGAGCCAAGATGGGCATGGGTCCAGGGATGAGGTGGTCGCTCTCACAGCCCCAAGGGTCTCCTCCACGGTTTCAGGAAGAACAAGCCTGAAAGAATCCCATAAAATTGGACAAGCAGGTGCCTCCGTCACCTCTCCTGGCACTGCGATGGAATTGGAGTCGAGCTCGAGGCGTATCTGGGCGACTTTATCTGCAAAATGGTGTGCGAAATCGCGACACCGAGCTGCGGGGTCGTCGGGAAGCTCCTCCACCACTGGTGGGTGGAGGAGCTCACCCACGACCCGAAACAGCTCCGATGATCTATTTGCTGCAGATGCTATACGGGCGGTCGTGAATGACTTCCTGGCCACCCGTATAGCCACGGAGTATGCCTTAAGAGAGGCTTTAGCCCGTGCTCGATCAGACACGTCCCGAGATTTCCTCCATTTGCGCTCTAGCCCCCTTCTCGTATGCTTCATCACAGCCAGCTCCCCGGTGAACCAGGGGGACGGCCTGTCATGACGCAATGAGATGGGGCGTTCGGGAGCGATCGTGTCTATCGCCCTGGACATCTCCCTGTTGTAAAGGTTACTAAGGCGTCGATAGAATCGCCAGGCTCCAAGGCAGGGGGAACCCTAAGATTCCTCAGGAATCCGTATTATTATTAATAATAATAATAATAATAATAATAATAATAATAATATTATCAGTAATATTATAATTCATATATTAGTATTATATTTATTATAATATTATTAATATTATATTTATATACAATATATTATATTATATTAGTATTATATATTATTAAATTGCACTATACAATTTAACTACAAGAGAGGAGATTCCATCTGAACATGAGGAAGAACTTCCTGACTGTGAGAGCTGTTCAGCAGTGGAACTCTCTGCCCCGGAGTGTGGTGGAGGCTCCTTCTTTGGAAGCTTTTAAACAGAGGCTGGATGGCCATCTTTCGGGGGTGATTTGAATGCAATATTCCTGCTTCTTGGCAGAATGGGGTTGGACTGGATGGCCCAGGAGGTCTCTTCCAACTCTTATGATTCTATCATTCTATACTGCAATATTATTAGTAATATATATAATATATAATTATTATATTATTATATATTATTATATTGTACTATATTACTATACCACAACACATAGAATATATCACCAGTATCTAATACTATTAGTATTATATAATATATTGTACTATATCATAACTTGTAGTACATACAATATATAATATATTATATTACAACATTATTGATATTATATATAACATATTAGTGTTATTATATTACAATGTCATTATTTCTATATATTATTATTATAATACTTATTTACTGTATTATTATAAGTTTCTTATTTAACTCACTACACAGAGTATTATTTAGTTGTATCAGGCTTTGTTGTTTGGTTCAGTATGGTGATATGGCCTAAGGGTTGTTGTTGTTATTATTTATTGACACAAAAGCACAATATGTTACAGCGAACGAGATCTCTGTGTTGGATTTCGTATCACAAAATCACAAGTCAAACCCTTCCCAAGCGTCTAGGACTGTGTAATGTATTTTTGAATGATGCGCATGGATCCAAGTAAGGTGGATTTAAATTATTATTATTATTATTATTATTATTATTATTATTATTATTAGCATTTAATGTTGAGTTACAATGCAGTGCCACTTCAGAGTGCAACTAGGAGACCACTATGCATGAATGGAAATGAAATTGGATGAGTGAAGGTTGGATAAGCGAGACTCTACTGTGTATGTGTGTGTGTGTATATATATATATACACACACACACACACACACACACACACATGCACAGTAGAGTCTCGCTTATCCAACCTTCACTCATCCAATTTCTTTTCCATTCATGCATAGTTTTTGGGGGTTTTTTTTCCAACATACATACATCATATATATGTGTGTGTGTGTGTGTGTGTGTGTGTGTGTTTGGTTCCAGGACTTGCAATGGATACCAACATCAAGTTATATGTGTCCTGTATAGAAAATAGTATGTTTTGGGGTTTTTTTTCCAACATATATATATGTTCCAACATATATATAATAATATTACATAATATATATATATATATATATATATATATATATATATATATATATAATATATATATATATATATATTCAAATGGAATATATATATGTTGGAACATATATATGTTGGAATATATATATATGTTGGAATGGAATATATATATGTTGGAATATATATATATATGTTGGAACATATATATATGTTGGAAAAAAAACCCCAAAACATACTATTTTCTATACAGGACACATATAACTTGATGTTGGTATCCATTGCAAGTCCTGGAACCAAACACACACACACACACACACACACACACACATATATATATGTATGTATGTTGGAAAAAAAACCCCCAAAAACTATGCATGAATGGAAAAGAAATTGGATGAGTGAAGGTTGGATAAGCGAGACTCTACTGTGCATGTGTGTGTGTGTGTGTGTGTGTGTGTGTATATATATATACACACACACACATACACAGTAGAGTCTCGCTTATCCAACCTTCACTCATCCAATTTCATTTCCATTCATGCATAGTGGTCTCCTAGTTGCATATATATATATATGTTCCAACACATATATGTGTGTGTGTGTGTGTTGGAAAAAAACCCCCCAAAACATACTATTTTCTATACAGGACACATATAACTTGATGTTGGTATCCATTGCAAGCCCTGGAACCAAACCAAGGACCTGGTGAAAACATTTTCCCAACTGTAGAAATCTAGTGCATAAGAATACGACTGCATTGAAACTCTTTACGTATGGAAAATAGATTTCCAAAGGATTGGAAAGGCCTGATGTCCTGGTAGGGAAAGCAGTGCTCTCTGATTCAGACTGTGTTGTGAAGAAAGGCAATTGCCTACCTCTGGCGAGGCTGTGCTTTTGGAGTAGTAGTGACACCGCCCTGCATACAGCGGCCGAAGATCCTGCGAGAAGGAAAGAACAACAACAGCCTTTTATAAGTCCCAGCACCAACAAGGACCACTCCTAGATTGATGCATTTGTTATGTTTACATTGCAACTTCCCTCTAATGAACGTCCCTCTTGCAAACATCACGACCCTCTTTGCAGTTGAGGGATTGGTGGAAACTCACCCATGCAACCCTTGCTTTTGAAGTTTACTCACTATGTGCCTAGCTGCGAACACGCCATCCACAATGGCACAGCAGAAGGCGGCGATGACACCAAAACTGATGAAGACAATTGAAGCAACCAGCTGCAAAAGGAGGAGAAAAAAGAGGATGTTTCATGTTGCAAAATGTGTCGTCGTTAAGCGTGTCACAGGACAATACAACTCCACGTGTCAGAACCCAGACGTCTTTAAAGAACCAGACACAGGGGTAAACTCAAAACAACAGTGTATTAAGGCAACAAAAGGACTCAGAGACACATACTTCAGGGTCTCTGGTCAAAAAACTTAACTTGGAAAATAATCCGGATTAAATTAACATATAATCTGGGATAAGCAAAAGTTCAAGCAAAATGCCCCCAAATCACACAGTTCAAAGTAGGCAAACAAACAAAGAGCCGTGAAGAAAAGCCATTGTCCAAAAGCAGTCCAAGGTCGAGAAAATTCCAGAAGAAGTATTCAGAGTCCAAAAGGCAGCGTCGTCATCAAAGCAATCCAAGATCGAAGAGAAGGGGAAATCCGCACTTATGAGAATCCAAGCCAGTTGATACACGGAGGAAACAGCAACCTGCAGTTCCAGGACCCAAGCCCAACAAGAGAAACGGCAGCGACAGGAGCCAAGGCACGAATCCAACACTTTGCCTTCTGCAAAGTTCCAAACTTTCAGTGCCTTCATGTAACCTACAACTCATCATCCGTTGATGAGCTGCCCTCTGCCCTTTTCTCATCACTGTCAGCTGTTTTACCTATTACCTATTTACCTATTACCTATTTACCCATCCCTCCAACTCTTCCACCTCTTGTCAAGACTTAGGTCTCCCCATGATTCCCTGGTATCACCAGACTGCCAATCCCCAGAGAACCCCTCAAACATATCACTGGATGTGGGTTGCATGCACACATTCCTGACTTCTTGCACTTGAGTCCAATCCAATGATTCCCCTTCGTCCTCACTACTCCCAGACCCATTACTTCCAGTAAAGTCCATAAAATCCTCCTCCTCAGTTGGAGCAGTAAGTATGTCACGGATCCGTTTCCTGTGACACTCCTTGTCTGACTCTTGCTCTCGAGTAGTCCTTTTTTACACCTCTACTCCCATCTCCCTCCTCCTCCATTTCACTTTCTGAGAAGCCTTCGAAAGAGTCTTCATCTGTAGGTGAAATGAATATTTCCCTGATTCTCTTTCTTTGTTGCTCTTCATCCAACACCTGAGCACCTCTCTTCCCTCCTCTGCTACTCCTACTATCAGCTGTAACATTGCCAGTAGACTCAACTGCAACATCACGCAAGACACCCTTCTGTGGTGCCCTAAAGCTGAGCTTTCCAAACGTAGGGCGGGAAAAAGCCGGACACAAATATGCATAATAATAATAATAATAATAATAATAATAATAATAATTTTTCATGTTGGTGACACGCTTTTTAGACATGCCTCCTTTTGCGACATGGTAATTGGGTTTTACTGCAAAACAGGAGGAAAAGAGAATGTTTCGTGTTGCGAAATGTGTTACCATTAAGCGAGTTACACGACAACAACACACCTCCATGCAACACACCATTCTGTGACGACCTACGCAGAGCTGGATACAAATATGCATAATAATAATAATAATAATAATAATAATAATAATTTTTCATGTTGGTGACATGCTTTTTAGACATGCCTCCTTTCGCGACACAGTAATGAGGTTTTACTGCAAAACAGGAGGAAAAGAGAATGTTTCGTGTTGCGAAATGTGTTGCCGTTAAGCGAGTCACACGACAACAACACACCTCCATGCAAGACACCCTTCTGTGACGACCTACGGCAGAGCTTTCCAAACTTAGGGAAAAAGCAGGATACAAATAAGCATAATAATAATAATAATAATAATAATAATAATAATAATAATAATTTATGTTGGTGACACGCTTTTTAGACATGCCGCCTTTTGCAACACGGTAATTAGGTATTACTGCAAAACGGGAAAAGAGAATGTTTCATGTTGCGAAATGTGTCGGCGTTAAGCGTGTCACACAATAACAACACAACTCCACGCAAGGCGCCCTTCTGTGACGCCCTAAAGCAGAGCTTTCCAAACTTAGGGAGGGAAAAAGCAGGATACAAATAAGCATAATAATAATAATAATAATAATAATAATTATTATTATTATTATTATTATTATTATTATTATTATTATTTTTCGTGTTGGTGACACACTTTTTAGACATGGCTCTTTTCACGACACAGTAATTTGGTTTTACTGCAAACTGGAGGTTAAACCAAACTCTTATTAGCATTTCATACAATATATATCAGGCATGGGCAAACTTTGGCCCTCCAGGTGTTTTGGACTTCAACTCCCACAATTCCTAACAGCCTACCGGCTGTTAGGAATTGTGGGAGTTGAAGTCCAAAACACCTGGAGGCCAAAGTTAGCTCATGCCTGATATCTATGTATCTATGCACAAAGTGTTCCCCTCCCAAATTCTGGGGACACATCAATGTTGCTCTGACGACCTCCTGGAGGGAGTCACCAACCGTGGTGACTGCTGATGCGATGAAGACAAAGGAACCGGAACGTTGGGAAGACAACTGAGAACGTGCCGCGGAACGGAATGAGAAGGCCCTCATGTCCTTCCTGAAGCCTGGGCAACTGGCCATTGAGGAAAGCTACCATGACCCACATCCCAGCCCCATAGGCTGCCAGAGCCCTGTTGCTCCACCTACTTGACGTCTACCACAAGGTATGGGCAAATTACATGTATTATGTTGCCTTTTGGGCACAATGGGTGGGTTATAATTGGGGCGGGGAATGTCAGATCCTGGGGAACAAACTATGGTATCATCATTTGGTCGTTTCCCAGCCTTTGAGGTGGACTTCCTTCCTTCTAAAGGGTTGAGAAACCTGCCCTGTGGCCGCGTTGCAGGAAAGTAGAGCTTTTAGTCAAAATCTGTTGGCCTTTTTTGGTCCCACTCATCTGGCTTTAAGGTATTGTCGAAGCCTTTCGTGGCCAGAATCACCAGATTGTTGTAAGTTTTTCGGGCTGTATGGCCATGTGCTAGAAGCATTCTCTCCTGACGTTTTGCCTCCATCTGTGGCAGGCATCCTCAGAGGTTGTGAGGTCTGTTGGAAACTAGGAAAATTGGGTTTATATATCTGTGGAAAGTCCAGGGTGGGAGAAAGAACTCTTGTCTGTTGGAGGTAGGTGGTAGAACAAGGCCAAACAGCCTGAAAAACCTACAACAACCCATCTGGCTTTAGTTGAAAGAGGTTCTGGCAACAGTGGAGAAATGAAAAAAAGGGGACGATATGTGGCAATCTGGGTGAAATCCAAAAAACGTCAGTTGATGATATAGTCCAAGTTCTAGGCTCCTACGGGTTCTAAGTCATCGAGCCTCCTCCAAGAGTTTAGGACTTCTGCAATCCTTGACAATGAGCCACCATGTCTGTGTCTTGCTGGAGGTGGTCCAAAACACAGCAGCTGATATAGTCCAAGTTCTAGGCTCTTCCGGGTTCTAAGTCGTTGAGCCTCCCCCAAGAGTTTAGGAGTTCTGCAATCCTTGACCATGGGTCACCATGTCTGTGTCTTGCTGGAGGTGAAATCCAAAACACGGCAGTTGATATAGTCCAAGTTTTAGGCTTTTCCAGGTTATAAGACGTTGAGCCTTCCCCAAGAATTTTGGACTTCTGTAATCCTTGACCATGAGCCACCATGTCTGTGTCTCGCTGGAGGTGAAATCCACAACACAGCAGTTGACGATATAGTCCAAGTTCTAGGCTCATCCAGGTTCTAAGTTGTCGAGCCTCCTCCAAGAATTTAAGACTTCTGCAATCCTTAATCATGGGCCACCATGTCTGTGTCTTGCTAGAGGTGAAGTCCAAAACATGGCAGTTGATGATATAGTCCAAGTTCTAGGCTCTTCCAGGTTCTAAGTAGTCGAACCTCCTCCAAGAATTTTGGACTTCTGCAATCCTTGACCAAGGGCACCATGTCTGCGTCTTGCTTGGAGTTGAATCCAAAACACTTAGATGGAGAAAACCTGGCCTACGAAGATTTGAGATTCGAAGCAGGATGCAGCTAATCCAAAACAAAACAAGCCAAAAGCTTGTAAGGCAGATCTCTCCATCATTTTATAGGAAACCCAATAATGTTGAATGCACAAGTCCGGTGTACCTTGTGCTGGCTATATAAAGGTACAAGGTTCTCTGTCTGGGGTCAGTCTGAAATCAGACTCTCGTGGAGAAGGGACCCGGAATGGAACGCCAGGAGGTTGCAATATGATCCCAGTTGCACAGATCGCCGTGCAAGGGATTCGTGCAGGTCAAGTCGGCTGCAAACAAGAGAAAGCCTATTCATTTGCTGGCTTTCTATGCTGCTGAGGATCTGGCACAAAGTTACAACCCAGTAACACTGTTCCGTCCAGTCCAGGCATGGGCCAACTTGGGCCCTCCCTCCAGGTGTTTTGGACTCCAACTCCCACCATTCCTAACAGCCTCGGGTCCCTTCCTTTCCCCCCTCAGCCACTTAAGTCATTACTTACCATTTGCCTTTTATTCTCTATCAAGTTGGATCCAATAATTCCAAGAAACGACCCAAAACCGAGCTGAAAAGCAAAGATTTGGAAAGGAATTAAATCTAGATATGTACTTACCTCAGTAAGTAGTTAGCACAGAGAAGCCATTGAAATCCACAAGATACATGTGGACAATTTCAATAGAAAGATGAACAAAATCTGTCTCCTAGTATTAAAATATAGTAAATAGTAAATAAAGAGCAACACTCTGAAAACAGGGGAATTCCAGACAGGAAACAATCAGAGCCAACTAACACCTGCCAACAAAGGATTCCCCCAGACCAGAAGCAGCCAGGCTTTGAAGCTGCAAGGCCATTAAATGCTAATTAAGCTGGCTAATTGCAACATCAAGCAGACAAGGGTTCTTTCTCCCATCTTGGACATTACTCCACAAATCTGGAACACCTTTCGAGGCATCTCTAGATTCTCCAATGAACATCTTGGACATTACTCCCATCTTGGACATTACTCCTCACTTGCCTAGTTTCCAATATACTTCATATCCTCTGAGCATGCCTGCCAAAGATATGGGCAAAACATCAGGAGGGAATGCTTCTGGAACATGGGCCATACAGCCCAGAAAACTAGTAATCTATAAAGGACGTTGTAAGGCTGTAGGCCACCCATCTCAAAGAAGAAGCAAAAGCAAGTGAATGAGCAGACATCAGGACTGAAGGACATATTTGGAAACTTTGTATGGTCTTAAAGATGGACACAAGGTTCCCCAACCTAGTGAAGAAGAGTATACTTACAATAACACCTGGGTAGTACCCTCCGACAGAGACATTCTGGGTTCTTGTGGTAGCGGCCAAACCGACCGTGAGAATCAACAGAGACACAATGAGAAGGGTCACCGTGACGTAGAGGGAATTCTTTTTTCTTCTATTGAAGGACCCTAGAAAGACCAAAAAGAGCATGCTCATTCCATCAGCTAAGTAGCAAGATAGCTTCTAGGTATTTCAAGAATCTAGAGAATGCTCATTGAGGATCCAGTCTAGATTCTCCAATGCAATTCTGTGTTCAGCTTCTCCTGGAACTTGACATTGGAGAAAAAGATACAATGAAGGGGGAAATACAAAGAAATTATGTTGGAGGACCTAGAACACCTCTCTAGGTATCCCTAGATCCTCCAATGCAATTCCTTGTTTAGCTTCCACTGGAAGTTGACCATAGTCATGCTGGAGGGCATAGAACATCTCTCTAGCTATCTCTAGATCCTCCAGTGCAATTCTGTGTTCAGCTTCTACTGGACGTTGACTATGGAGACATGTTGGATGACCTAGAACACCTTTCTAGGCATCTCTAGATCCTCCAGTTAAATTCTGTGTTCAGCTTCCATTGGACATTGACTATGGAGACATCTGGAGGACCTAGAACACCTCTCTAGGTATCCCTAGATCCTCCAATGCAATTCTGTGTTCAGCTTCTACTGGACGTTGACCATAGTCATGCTGGAGGATGTAGAACACCTCTTTAGCTATCTCTAGATCCTCCAATGCAATTCTGTGTTCAGCTTCTACTGGATGTTGACTATAGAGACATGCTGGAGGATCTGGAACACCTTTCTAGGCATGTCTAGATTCTCCAATGAAATTCTGTGTTCAGCTTCCATTGGACGTTGACTATGGAGACATGCTGGAGGACCTAGAACACCTCTCTGGGTATCTCTAGATCCTCCAATGCAATTCTGTGTTCAGCTTCCACTGGACATTGACTATGGAGACATGCTGGAGGACCTAGAACATCTCTCTAGGTATCTCTAGATCCTCCAATATAATTCTGTGTTTAGCTTCTACTGGATGTTGACTATGCAGGCATGCTGGATGACCTAGAACATCTCTCTAGGTATCTCTAGATCCTCCAATACAATTCTGTGTTCAGCTTCCACTGGACGTTCACTATGGAGACATGCTGGAGGATCTAAAACACCTCTCTAGGTACCTCTAGATCTTCCATCTCCAGCAAAGGATCACCGCCTTGTCGGGGCGCTGGAGCTTGAGCACCTCAATGATGTCATGAGCGAAACCGTGAAGGGCCACCCAAGACGGGACGGTTGTGGCAGAGAGGTCAGACCAAGCGTGATCCCTGGGGAAGGCAACGGCAAACCACCCCAGTATCCTTGCCAAGAAAACTAAATGGACCAGTACAACCAGAGATATGTCGGTATGCCATTGGAAGATGGGACTCCCAGGTCGGAAGATGGCCAAAATGCTACTGGGGAGGAGCAGAGGATAAGTTCAACTAGCCCCAGATGTGATGACGCAGCTAGCTCAAAGCCGAAAGGAAGGCTAGCGGCCGACAGTACTGGAGGTGAACGACGAATCCGATGCTCTAAAGATCAACACACCATAGGAACCTGGAATGTAAGATCTATGAGCCAGGGCAAATTGGATGCTGTTATTGGTGAGATGTCAAGACTAAAGATAGACATTCTGGGGGTCAGCGAACTGAAATGGACTGGAATGGGCCACTTCACATCAGATGACCACCAGATCTACTACTGCGGACAAGAGGAACACCGAAGAAATGGAGTAGCCTTCATAATTAATAAGAAATTCGCTAAAGCAGTGCTTGGATACAACCCAAAAAATGACAGAATGATCTCAATTCGAGTGCAAGGAAAGCCTTTCAACATTACAGTGATCCAAATATACGCCCCAACCACAGCTGCTGAAGAAGCAGAAGTAGATCAGTTCTATGAGGATCTGCAGGACCTACTGGATAATACACCAAAAAGAGACATTATTTTCATTACAGGAGACTGGAATGCCAAGGTGGGAAGTCAAATGACAATAGGGATCACAGGCAAGCATGGTCTGGGAGAACAAAATGAAGCGGGACGCAGGCTGATAGAATTTTGCCAGGAAAACTCGCTGTGTATAACGAATACTCTCTTCCAACAACCTAAACACGGCTTTATACATGGACCTCACCAGATGGTCAACACCGAAATCAGATTGACTACATCCTTTGCAGCCAAAGGTGGCGGACATCCATCCAGTCGGTGAAAACAAGACCTGGGGCTGACTGTAGCTCAGATCACGAACTTCTTATTGCTCAATTTAGAATAAAACTAAAGAGATCAGGGAAAGTACACAGACCAGTTAGATATGATCTCACTAACATTCCTAGCGAATATACAGTGGAAGTGAAGAACAGATTTGAAGGACTAGATTTAGTAAACAGAGTCCCAGAAGAACTATGGACAGAAGTCCGAGACATTGTTCAGGAGGCGGCAACAAAGTACGTCCCAAAGAAAAAGAAAACCAAGAAGGCAAAATGGTTGTCTGCTGAGACACTGGAAGTATCCCAAGAAAGGAGGAAAGCAAAAGGAAACAGGGATAAGGGGAGATATGCCCAGTTAAATGCGCAATTCCAGAGGTTAACCAGAAGAGATAAGGAACTATTTTTAAATAAGCAATGCATGGAAGTGGAAGAAGACAACAGAATAGGAAGGACAAGAGACCTCTTCCAGAAAATTAGAAACATTGGAGGTAAATTTCAGGCAAAAATTGGTATGATAAGAAACAAAGATGGCAGGGACCTAACAGAAGCTGAAGAGATCAAGAGAAGGTGGCAAGACTATACAGAAGATCTGTATAGGAAGGATAATAATATTGAGGATAGTTTTGACGGTGTGGTGAATGAATTAGAACCAGACATCCTGAGGAGTGAGGTTGAATGGGCCTTAAGAAGCATTGCTAACAACAAGGCAGCAGGAGATGACGGGATCCCAGCTGAACTGTTTAAAATCTTAAAAGATGATGCTGTCAAGGTGATGCATGCCATTTGCCAGCAAATATGGAAAACACAAGAATGGCCATCAGACTGGAAAAAATCAACTTATATCCCCATCCCAAAAAAGGGAAATGCGAAAGACTGCTCCAACTTCCGTACAGTGGCCCTTATTTCTCATGCCAGTAAGGTAATGCTCAAGATCCTGCAAGGAAGACTCCAGCAATACATGGAGCGAGAGTTGCCAGATGTTCAAGCTGGGTTTAGAAAAGGCAGAGGAACGAGAGACCAGATTGCCAATCTCCCGATGCTGGATAATGGAGAAAGGCAGGGAGTTTCAGAAAAACATCTACTTCTGCTTCATTGACTATTCTAAAGCCTTTGACTGTGTGGATCATAATAAATTGTGGCAAGTTCTTAGTGGGATGGGCATCCCAAGCCACCTTGTCTCTCTCCTGAGGAATCTGTACAAGGACCAAGTAGCAACAGTCAGAACTGACCACGGAACAACAGACTGGTTCAAGATTGGGAAAGGCGTCCGGCAAGGCTGCATCCTCTCACCCAACCTTTTTAACTTGTATGCAGAACACATCATGCGAGGATGTGCGGGGCTTGAGGAATGCAAATCTGGGGTGAAAATTGCTGGAAGAAACATTAACAACCTCAGATATGCAGATGACACCACTCTGATGGCCGAAAGCGAGGAGGAGCTGAGGAGCCTTCTAATCAAGGTGGAAGAAGAAAGCGCAAAAGCCGGGTTGCAGCTAAACGTCAAAAAAACCAAGATTATGGCAACAAGAATGATTGACAACTGGAAAATAGAGGGAGAAAATGTGGAGGCCGTGACAGACTTTGTATTTCTAGGCGTAAAGATTACTGCAGATGCAGACTGTGGCCAGGAAATCAGAAGACGCTTCCTTCTTGGGAGGAGAGCAATGTCCAGTCTCGATAAAATAGTAAAGAGTAGAGACATCAGACTGGCAACCAAGATCCATTGCCTAGTCAAAGCCATGGTATTCCCTGTAGTCACATCTACGGATGTGAGAGCTGGACCTTCGGGAAGGCTGAGCGAAGGAAGACGATGCTTTTGAGCTGTGGTGTTGGAGGAAAGTGCTGAGAGTGCCTTGGACTGCGAGAAGATCCAACCAGTCCATCCTCCAGGAAATAAAGCCCGACTGCTCACTTGAGGGAAAGATAGCAGAGGCAAAGATGAAGTACTTTGGCCACATCATGAGGAGACAGGAAAGCCTGGAGAAGACAATGATGCTGGGGAAAGTGGAAGGAAAAAGGAAGAGGGGCCGACCAAGGGCAAGATGGATGGATGGCATCCTTGAAGTGACTGGACTGACCTTGAGGGAGCTGGGGGTGGTAACGGCCGACAGGGAGCTCTGGCGTGGGCTGGTCCATGAGGTCACGAAGAGTCGGAGACGACTGAACGAATGAACAACAACAAAGATCTTCCATAGGTGTTACTATTCTCTTGCGATCCCTCGCTGACATTGTAAGACAGCTATTTGTCCATCTAGCCCCTTATTCTGTTTTAGGAGATGTCAATTCTTCCAGCAACCTATGTAATGCATACCCCTTTTTCCTCATAATTTTCCAACTCCCCATTTGGGATGACAATTCCCAAAAGCATCAACCACCATGACTGGGAATGATGAGAGTTAAGTTCAAGAAATTGCATTTCCAAGCCTTGCAAATGAAATGGCTCTCTCTCTCAATTTCACTCTCAATAACGGCACTCGACCGCCCGTCCAGTTTTTGGCCCTTGAGTTGTGCAAATCCCTGGAAATATTCCAGGGAGAACACCATGAAAGCTGAACTCCCGGGGAAAACAGTCCAGGTTTCACACGGAAAGAAGTTTAATTTCCCAGATTCATTAACTTGAAGGAGGAAGAGGAGGTGTAGTTCACTCAGGAATGAAGTCCAGAGCTTTGAAATGATATCAGTTATCCTGGGTGCATCTCTGCTGTAGAACGAACGTGATTTGATGCCAAACTGCCCCTATGCTCTGGTATCCTGAGATCTGTAGTTTTACAAGACTCTTTTCTGCCAAGGAGTGCTGGTGCCAGAGAAGGGCCTGCTGTCCAAAGATGGAGAAGAGTGGAGTCTGGCACCTTTGGGCAGAAGAAACACAGAAATGCCATTCCTTGGGGAGAAAGAAAGAGGGGTCCCTCTAGGTTTGTGCAGAAGGAACACGGGGGGGGGGGTGTCCCTTGCTTTGGATAGAAGGAAAAGGGGTCCCTTTGGTTTGGATGCAAAGAAAAACAGGCCCTTGCTTTGGGTAAAAGAAAGGCAGAGGTGTCTCTTGGCTTTGAGTAAAAGCAAATGGGGTCCTTTTACTTTGAGCAAAAAGAAAAGGGGTCCCTTTGCTTTGGACAGAAGGGAAAAGGATCCTTTTGCTTTGGGTAAAAGGAAAAAGCGATCCTTTTGCTTTGGAAAAAAAGGAAAAAAGGGGCCCTTAGATTTTTTTTTCATGTCAGGAGTGACTTGAGAAACTGCAAGTTGCTTCTGGTGTGAGAGAATTGGCTGTCTGCAAGGATGTTGCCCAGGGGATGTTGCCCAGATGTGTTACCACCCTGTGGGATGATTTCCTCACGTCCACACATGGGAAGCTGGAGCTGACAGATGGGAGTTTACCCTGCTCCCTGGATTTGAATTGCAGTCCTGGCGGCACAAGGGTTCAACCTATTGCACCACTTAGAATAAAAGGCAAGGAGGTCCCTTTGCTTTGGGTAAAAGGAAAACGGGGTCCCTTTGCTTTGGATGAAATGGAAAGGAGCTCCTTTACTTTGGGTAAAAGGGCCTTTTGCTTTGGGTAAAAAGAAAAAGGTCCCTTTACTTAGAGTAAAAGGAAAGAGGTACATTTGTTTTGGGTAAAAGAGAAGAGGGGGTTTTACTTTGGATTAAAAGAAATGAGGACCCCTTGCTTTGGGTCAAAGGAAAAGGGGCCCCTTTGCTTTGGAGAGAAGGAAAAGGATTTGGATGCAAGGGAAAGGCAAGGGCCCCTTGGCTTTGGGGGGAAAGCAGGCAGAGGGAACCCCTTGCTTTGGGGGAAATGGAAACGGGCCCTTGGCTTTGGAGTAAAAGAAATGGGGACCCTTTGCTTGGAGTAAAAGAAAGACAGGGGATCCCTTGCTTTGGGGAAAAGGAAAAAGGAGTCCTTTGCTTTGGGGAAAGGAGAGAAAGGGGTCCCTTTACTTTGGATAGAAGGGAAGGAGGCTCCTCTACTTTGGGGAAAAGAAAGGCAGAGGGGTCCCTTTGCTTTGGAGAGAAGGAAAAGGATTTGGATGCAAGGGAAAGGCAAGGGCCCCTTGGTTTTGGGGAAAAGGCAGGCAGAGGGAACCCCTTGCTTTGGGGGAAAGGGGAAGGGGCCCCTTTGCTTTGCAGAGAAGGGAAAAGGTTCCTTTGCTTTGGGTCAAAGGGAAAAGGGGCCCTTTGCTTTGGGTCAAAGGAAAAGGGGTCCTTTTGCTTTAGACAGGGGAGTCCCTTAACTTTGGATAGAAGGAAAGGAGACCCGTTTGCTTTGGGGAAAAGACAGAGAGGGGAATCCCCTGCTTTGGGTCAAAGGGAAAGGGGTCCCCTTGCTTTGGATGAAAGGCAGAGGGGTCCCTTTGCTTTGGGTCAAAGGGACAGGGGATCCCTTTACTTTGGGTGGAAGGAAAGGAGACCCCTTTGCTTTGGGGAAAAGACAGACAGAGGGGTCCCTTGGCTTTGGAGAAAAGGAAAAGGGTTTGGATAACAAGGAAAGGAAAAGGTCCCTTGGCTTTGGGGAAAAGGCAGGCAGAGGGAACCCCTTGCTTTGGGGAAATGGAAAAAAAGGGTGCTTTGGAGTAAAAGAAATGGGGTCCCTTTGCTTTGGATAAAAAGGAAAAGGGGTCCCTTGGCTTTGGAGAGAAGGAAAAGGTTTTGGATGAGAGGGAAAGGGAAAGGCCCCTTGGCTTTGGGGAAAAGGCAGGCAGAGGGAACCCCTTGCTTTGGGGAAAAGGAAAAAAAGGGTGCTTTGGAGTAAAAGAAATGGGGACCCTTTGCTTGGGGTAAAAGAAAGACAGGGGACCCCTTGCTTTGGGTAAAAGGAAAAAGGAGTCCTTTGCTTTGGGGAAAAGACAGGGAGGCCCCTTTACTTTGGATAGAAGGGGGAAACGGTCCTTTTGCTTTGGGTAAAAGAGAGAGAGAGAGAGAGAGAGAGAGAGGGGTCCCTTTACTCTGGGTAAAAGGAAAAAGGGGCCCTTTACTTTGGATTAAAAGACATGGGGATCCTTTGCTTTGTGTAAAAGGAAAAGGGGTCCCTTGCTTTGGAGAAAAGGAAAAGGGTTTGGATGAAAGGGAAAGGGAAAGGCAAGGGCCCCTTGGCTTTGGGGGAAAGGCAGGCAAGGGGTCTCTTGCTTTGTGGAAAGGAGAGAAGGGGGCCCCTTTACTTTGGATAGAAGGGAAGGAGGCTCCTCTACTTTGGGGAAAAGAAAGGCAGAGGTGTTCCTTTGCTTTGGGTAAAGGGAAAAAGGTTTGGATGCAAGGGAATGGCAAGGGCCCCTTGGCTTTGGGGAAAAGGCAGGCAGAGGGAACCCCTTGCTTTGGGGAAAGGGGCCCCTTTGCTTTGGAGTAAAAGAAATGGGGTCCCTTGCTTTGGAGAGAAGGGAAAGGGTTTGGATGAGAGGGAAAGGGAAAGGCAAGGGCCCCTTTGCTTTGGGGAAAAGGCAGGCAGAGGGAACCCCTTGCTTTGGGGGAAAGGGAAAAGGGGGCCCTTGGCTTTGGGCAGGAGAAACACCCCGGGGTCCCCTTTCTTGGGAGGGGAAGGCGAAGGGGTCCCCTTGCTTTGCACTGCGTCAAAAGGAAGCAGAGACAGGCAGGAGAGTCACCCCCTTGAGCCCCCCAGTGCCAGCCCCACTGCGCCTTACCCAGGGAGACGGAGAGCGGGAGGGAAGTGGGGCGCGGCTGGGTCAGGGCTTGGCGCATCTCGGCTCCCGCTGCCACCCCCAGCCTGGGGGGAAAGGGCCCCCGCAGCCGCGGTTACCGGGTCTGGAGGAAGCCTCTCTCCCTGCGGCGCCTGCGCAACCGCCGACCCAGCCCTCCAGCCTCCCCCCTCCCTCCTGAGAAAGCTAGAAGGGGGAGGGGGAGGGCCATTTGGAGTCCTCCCTCCCTCCCTTCCTCCCTCCTTCCTTCCTCCCTCCCTCCCTCCCTTCCTCCTTCCCTCCCTCCTTCCTTCCTTCCTTCCTTCCTTCCTTCCTTCCTCCCTCCCTCCCTCCTTCCTTCCTTCCTTCCTTCCTTCTCCCTTCCCTCCCTCCCTCTCCTTCCTTCCTTGCTTCCTTCCTTCCTTCCCTCCCTCCCTCCTTCCTTCCTTCCTTCCTTCCTTCTTCCTCCCTCCCTCCCTCCCCCTCCCTCCCTCCCTCCCTCCTTCCTTCCTTCTCTCCTTCCTTCCTCCCTCCCTCCTTCCTTCCTTCCTCCTTCCTTCCTTTCCTCCTTCCTTCCCTCCCTCCCTCCCTCCTTCCCTCCCTCCCTCTCCTTCTCCTTCCTCCTTCTTCCTCCCTCCCTCCCTCCTTCCTTCCCTCCTCCTCCCTCCCTCCTTCCTTCCCTTCCTTCCTTCCTCTTCCTTCCTTCCTCTCCCTCTCTCCCTCCTTCCTTCCTTCCTTCCTCTTCCCTCCCTCCTTCCTTCCTTCCTTCCCTCCCTCCCTCCCTCCCTCCCTCCCTCCCTCCTTCCTTCCTTCCTTCCTTCCTTCCTCCCTTCCCTCCCTCCCTCCCTCCCTCCCTCCCTCCCTCCCTCCTTCCTTCCTTCCCTCCTTCCTTCCCTCCCTCCTTCCCTCCTTCCCTCCCTCCTTCCTTCCCTCCTTCCCTCCTTCCTTCCCTCCCTCCCTCCCTCCCTCCCTCCTTCCTTCCTTCCTTCCTTCCTTCCCCCTCCCTCCCTCCCTCCTTCCTTCCCTCCCTCCCTCCTTCCCTCCTCCCTCCTCCTTCCTTCCTTCCTTCTCCTCCCTCCCTCCTTCCTCCTTCCTTCCTTCCTTCCTTCCTCCTTCCTTCCTCCCTCCCTCCCTCCTTCCTCCTTCCTCCCTCCTCCTCCTTCCTTCCTTCCTTCCCTCCTCCCTCCCTCCTTCCTCCTTCCTTCCTTCCTCTTCCTCCTCCTCCCTCCTTCCTTCTCCTTCCTTCCTTTCCTTCCTTCCTCCCTCCCTCCTCTCCCTCCTTCCTTCCTTCCTTTCCTCCCTCCCCCTTCCTTCCTTCCCTCCCTCCTCTCCTCCTCCCCTCCCTCTTCCTTTCCCTTCCTCCTTCCTTCCTTCCTTCCTCCCTCCCTCCCTCCCTCCTTCCTTCCTTCCTTCTTCCTCCCTCCCTCCCATCCTTCCTCCCTCCCTCCTTCCCCTTCCTTCCTTCCTTCCCTCCCTCCTCCCTCCCTTCCCTCCCTCCTTCCCTCCTTCCCTCCTTCCTTCCCTCCCCTCCCTCCCTCCCTCCCTCCTTCCTTCCTTCTTCCTTCCTTCCCTCCTCCTCCCTCCTCCTTCCTTCCCTCCCTCCTCCTTCCCTCCTCCCTTCCTCCTCTCCTTCCTTCTCCTCCTCCCTCTCTTCCATTCCTTCCTTCCTCTTCCTTCCTCCTTCCCTCCCCTCCCTCCCTCCTTCCTCCCTCCCTCCTCCCTCCTCCTCCTTCCTTCCTCCTCCTTCTTCCTTCCTTCCTCCTCCCCCTCCCTCCTTCCTCCTCCTTCCTCCCTCCTCCCTCCTCCTTCCTTCCCTCCCTCCCTCTTCCCTTCCCTCCTTCCTTCCTTCTCCCTCCCCTCTCCTCCTCCCCTCCTTCCTCCCTCCCTCCCTCCCTCCCTCCCCTTCACTCCCTCCTTCCTTCCCTCCCTCCTTCCTTCCTTCCTTCCTTCCTTCCTTCCTTCCTTCCTTCCTTCTTCTGCCACTCCTCCCTCCCTTCCCTCCCTCCTCCCTCCCTCCCTCCCTCCCTCCCTCCTTCCCTCCTTCCTTCCCTCCCTCCCTCCCTCCCTCCCTCCCTCCCTCCCTCCTTCCTTCCTTCCTTCCTTCCTTCCTTCCTTCCTTCCCTCCCTCCCTCCCTCCTTCCTTCCTTCTTCTCCTGCCATTTGCATCCCTGGCAGCTCCATGGTGCATCTGGAGCAGCAGAGGGCAAGCTCTCCTCCTCTTCCTCCTCCTCCTCCTCAACCTGACCTCCTTTCAGATACTTCATGACTCTCAGCCTTCTTTTCCTCCAAGCAAGACATCCCCAGCTCCCTAAGCCGCTCCTCCTAGGAGTTGGCTTCCAAACTTTGACCATTTATGGTGACACCTTTTGTCTTGCCCATCTCTTCCACGAATTGCATCACCCAGAACTGGACACTATTACAGGGCACCTGGTTCTCAAGCTTTATTGCTGGTTCTCCAGCTTATTAACTTATTAACTGCTTGGAATGAGTTCCTCTAAGATCCAAGAAGAACCCTGTTGGAAGGGACCAAACCATGAGATTCAGATGGTTCTTGGAGACAGAGGGAGAGGGAAAAAAAAATGCAAAGATGGTTCCATGGAAGCCCCATTATGTATTTCTGATTTTGACCATTCACATATATTATTAAAAATGCTATCTCTAGGTATATCTTCATTCTCCAATGTAATTCCATGGCCATCTTCCCCTTGAAGTTGACCATGAAGTTATGCTGGAAGACCAAGAACACTGTTCTACATATCTCTTGATCCTCCAGTGTAATTCTATGGTCATCTTCCCCTTGAAGTTGACTCTAAAGTTATGCTGGAGGACCTGGAAATGTCTAGTGATCACCTCTCTAGGTATTTCTTGAATCTATAGGACTCCCATTGGAGGATCTAGAGTCTAAATCCTCCAGTGACATTCTGTTTTCATGCTGGAGGACCTAAAACATGTCTGTAGGTATCTCTAGATCTTCCAGTGTAATTCTGTGTTCCACTTCCAATGGAAGTTGACTGTAGTGTCATGGTGGAGGATCTAGAACACCTCCTCTAGATATCTCTAGATCCTCCAATGTAATTATATGTTCAGCTTCCCCTGGAAGTTGACTGTAGAGTCATGTCGGAGTACCTAGAACACCTCTTTAGGTATCTCTAGATCCAATGCAATCCTGTGTTCATCTTCCCCTGGAAGTTGACTGTAGCATCATGCTGGGGGATCTAGAACACTTCTCTAGATATCTCTGGATCCCCCAGTGTAATTCAGCTTCCACTGGATGTTGACGATAGTCATACTGGAGGACCTAGAACACCTCTCTAGGTATCTCTAGATCCAATGCAATTCTGTGTTCAGCTTCCCCTGGAAGTTGACTGTAGCATCATGCTGGGAGACCTAGAACACTTCCCTAGATATCTCTGGAGCCTCCAGTGTAATTCAGCTTCCACTGGATGTTGACGATAGTCATGCTGGAGGATCTAGAATACCTCTCTAGGTATCTCTAGATACAGTGCAATTCTGTGTTCAGCTTTCTCTGGAACTTGATCATGCAGGGCAACCTAGACATTTCTAGACAGGGGTTCCCTAAAATAAAAACAAATAGTCTTTTTTCCTAAGCTTTTCACTTTCATGGGGTCCTGTGCCTCTAACCCCACTGAATCTGAAGGCCTTTCCAACTCTGTTGTAAACAAAGCCTTCCCTTCAGAGCCATTTTAGCCAGGAGAGGGCAGAGGAGAGTTGAGAAAGAACCTGGAATAGAACCCACTTAACATGAAACCCAAAACCAAAATAGAAAACATGTCTGTCTGCTTTGGAAACGGTGTTACTTTATGTAGCAATGAATGTATAGTATATCCTCTTTTCATGGTAGGGGGGCTCTCATTCATCGGAGGCTTTAATGTGGTGACACCCAGATTGCAAAGTATGTTGCAAAACATCCTTCTTTTTTAAATGGGTGTTAGTATTTCGAAACTCCACGAAAGAGAGCATTGAAAGGAAGCGAGAGTCGAGAGCAAGGTGGGACATTTAAGTGTGTGGGTTTGGAGCAGGTTGTTGTCACTGTTTCTATAGCACGTCTCCCTGGAAAAGTATGCGTTTTTCCCTTTGTTGCTTGGCATTTGCTTTCTTCAGCAAGAACACTCAACTACAGCGATGGTACTTGCCCCGTTTCTACAAGATTTGCAATGTTTGTTTTACTTGGAAACATACCTTGCGTGGGGACAAACAGCAGGCCAAATACACAGACTGATTTCCAACTATCTGTGATTCTGTCGCTGTTCTTGACAAGATGTCAATATCTGTAGTCCAACATCTGTCATAATATTCCCATGTATTAAAATGGATCATGATGGAGGACTTAGAACACATCTCTAGATACCTGTAGATCCTCCAAGCTGAATACAGAACTGCACTGGAGGATCTAGAGATACCTAGAGAGGTGTTCTAGGTCCTCCAGCATGACTCTATCATCAATGTCCAGTGGAAGCTGAATACAGAATTGCATTGGCGGATCTAGAGATACCTAGAGAGGTGTTCTAGGTCTTCCAGGACAACTCTACCATCAACGTCCAGTGAAAGGTGAACACAGAATTGAATTGGAAGACACCGAGAGAGATGTTCTAGGTCCTCCAGCACAACACTATCATCAGTGTTCAATGGAAGTTGAGCACTGAATTGCATTGGAGAATCTAGAGATACCTAGAGAGGTGTTCTAGGTCCTCCATCTCAACTCTAACGTCAACTTCTGATTGAAACTAAACACAGAATTGCATCAGAGGATCTAGAGATACCTAGAGCACTGTTCTAGGTCCTCTAGGATGTCTCCATAGTCAACATCCAATGGAAGCTGAACACAGAATTTCATTGGAGGATCTAGAGATACCTAGAGAGGTGTTCTAGGTCCTCCTGCATGTCTCCATAGTCAACGTCCAGTGGAAGCTGGACATAGAATTTCACTGGAGGATATAGAGATGCCTAGAAAGGTGTTCCAGATCCTCCAGCATGTCTCCATAGTCAACGCCCAATGGAAGCTGAACACAGAATTGCATTGGAAGATCTAGAGATACCTAGAGAGGTGTTCTAAGTCCTCCAGATGCAATCTGGTATTTGCCTGCCAGATTGTTGTGAGTGGCACAGGAGAAGGTGGCACAGGAGAAGAACTAGAAACAAGACAGTGAACAAGGCCTGCCAAGCTTCATTTTCAGCAAATCCAAAGCAGAGGAACATGACTTCATATTGAAAAGCAAGGAACGAGTGTCAACTCGCGGATAAAGGGATCCCCAACGGTGGGGCTCCACTTTGGGCTTGTCCTGTCTGCCTTGTCTCTTTTCCAGGGACCTTTCAGATGGTCCCTGGAATCTGAGACGGTTGGGAAACTGACCCTGCAGAATCCCAGCCGTGGCCTAGTCTGAATGCGGAGGGATAAATATAGCAACTCCAGCGCTGCTAAAGAGATTTTGGAAGGATTCATACAGGGGGGCCCCTGTGAGTGACAGCAGCATAATGCCATGCAGCCTGTCCTCTTGTTTAGGGTCTAGCGGTTTTATAATGTTCCATAAACCGACCCCTACATCCCCCTGTTGCAAACACAATAGCAATTCCCTTGCCAGAGAGCCTTTCATCTCTTCAGGGTTTTCTCATTTGGTGGACTGCTTTGTGTATGTTCATATGCTGTAGACAAGAGCCTTCGTTCTGGACTGGAATCCTGTTGCAGGATCTCAGATACCTGATGAAAGCAATCTATTTATTGCACGCTCCCTCTCCCCTGAAACGGCGAAGCTCCTGAAAGAGGTCTCAATCTTTTCCGTTGGGTTTCATGGTGGCCTCTTGCTTTCCATAGAGTCTGAATCGCATCGGTACAGTCGTTGGATGCGTCCAAGTTTGAGGTTCGGGATCAAAGGAAAGGAAGGCGAGCCTTGGCTTGTTGTCAGAGGGCAACGAGGGGATTTCCTACTCAATTAATGACTGCCTTTCCCTCCCTTTCCCTCCTTTTTGCACAAAGCCATGGAAGCAAATGCCAGATTGAGAGGTGCCGAGGCCGACCACAACAATCCGGTAAGTTGCCAACTGTGGATGGGACTCCGGAGGGTTGGCCAATATATTTCATGCCCAGTACAAGATGATTGGCTCTACCATTAGATGGCTGCCTGCAACAAGAGAATCCACGGAGCATGTCCCAAGGATTCTACTTTGCTTTGGCACTACATATTGTCTTTTTGTAAAGTAATAGAATTGTACTTAGAATATTTTGCTGGAAAGTACTCAGATTGCAACTACCAGAATTCACCAGCCATGGATTCCAGGACTTGGAGTCCAAAATCTAATATTTGCAAGCTATTATTTTTGCTATCAATGGAAAGAAGGCAAAGCTTAGCCACCTTTCTTATTCAAAACTAGCTGTGCCCACCACACATTGCTGTGGCCAACCTTCCCTTCCTCCTTCCTTCTTTCTTCTCTCCTTCCTTCCTTCCTTCCTTCCTTCCTTCCTTCCTTCCTTCCTTCCTTCCTTCCTTCTCTTCCTCTTCTCTTCCTCCCCCCTCTTTTCTTTCCCTTCCTCTTTCTCCCCTTTCTTCCTTCTCTACCTATTCTTGGACTGCAACCCCCAGCAGTCCTACTTATCTATCTACCTATCTATCTATCTATCTATCTATCTATCTATCTATCTATCTATCTATCTATCTACCACTTATTCATTTTGCATCCTATCTCTATCTATCTCTCTGGAGGATTGCTGAGAGTTGCCGTAAAGGAATAGGAAATTGGAAATAGGCCAGGATTGGGATGCTCTCAAAGAAATCCAAGGAGAAGAAAGCTTGCAGCTTGGAAGCAGTGCATTTGGATCATCCTCCTCTCCTAAAGGGCCTGGTCTAGGGGATGCTGGGAGCTGTAGTCCAGAAGAGAGTGTGGATATGCTATTGTGTGTTTTGTTTGCTGGGGGAGTCATTTTTGTGCATGCGCTGTAGCATCTTTTTGGCTTTTTAAGTCCCTTCCGCTGTGTTTTTCAGTGTTTTTAATGAGTGATGGTCACTCATTGGCCTGATGAGTGTATTGTGTCCAAATTTGGGGTCAATTCATCCAATGGTTTTTGAGTTATGTTAAACCCACAAACGAACATTACATATATATATATATATATATATATATATATATATATATATATATAGAGAGAGAGAGAGAGAGAGAGAGAGAGAGAGAGAGAGACTAGCCATACCCTGCCACGTGTTGCTGTGGCCCAGTCTGTTTTTATGTGCTTTGTGTGTATGTATGTGTGTATATGTGTATACATGTCTTTGCATGTGTATATATATATATATATATATGTGTGTGTGTGTGTGTGTGGTTTTGTGCATGCATTGTAATGTATTATTTTATTTTTTGGCTTTTTAAGTCTCTTCTGCTGTGTTTTTCAATGTTTTTATGAGTGATGGTCACTTGTTGGCCTGAGAGGTGTCTTGTGTCCAAATTTGGGGTCAATTCATCCAGTGGTTTTTGAGTTATGTTAAACCTACAAACCAACATTACATACATACATACATACACACACACACACACACACATATATGTAGACTAGCCGTACCCTGCCACGCATTGCTGTGGCCCAGTCTGTTTTATGTGCTTTGTGTGTACATATGTGTGTGTATGTGTATATATGTGTCTTTACGTGTGTATATATAGATATGTGTGTGTGTGTGTGTGTGTGGTTTTGTGCATGCATTGTAATGTATTATTTTATTTTTTGGCTTTTTAAGTCTCTTCTGCTGTGTTTTCCAGTGTTTTTATGAGTGATGGTTACTCGTTGGCCTGAGAGGTGTCTTGTGTCCAAATCTGGGGTCAATTCATCCAGTTGTTTTTGTGTTTGTTAATCCCACAAACCAACATTACATTTTCATATATATAGATTGAATGATGAATGCAGAATGCAAAGCTGGATTTCCCAGGTATCAGAAGCAAAATCTACTATCTGTCTAGGACCAAAAGCATCAACTGGCTCATTGATAAGACTCAATTAATTTGTCTATGACAGATTCAGAAGCACATGATGGGAACCAAACAAATTCCTCACCAAAAATGCGTTCCACTTGGGCAGTTTTCTAACAATGCTAGTGTTTATTTACAAAACTCTGTGAGTTCGGAATGGTTTCCATCATGTCGTTCAACAAGTCTTTTTCCAGCCAGGAGCCAGAGCTGAGCAGCGGAGACTTTCTTAACCTCAACAATGTCATTGCATCCGTTGCAGAGTCTATGTTGACATTGGTTTCAGGCCATTTTCAGCAGGAGTGTTTGGTTTTTTTTTTATTGTGGGTCAGAGAGAAAAAGCTTTCCTGTGTGTAGATAGGCTTGGCTTGTGCATAAATCCAGACTTCCTGCAGCTCTGGGTTGCCTCTTGTGCTTGGCTTGGAGCACAGTGAGCTTGCTCTTGGGTCTAGTTAGGCATTGGGGAGTCTGGGGGACGGAGGCTCAATGGGCAGACCCCTTTCCTGGAGCTCCGGCATTCCCTTCCCACTTCTCCGTGTCTTGGTGTCGTCACTCACCGCTTTGATGACGCACCCCGTGGGGACTTGCAGGACATTCTCGGAATGGACTTCATTCAGAGACACTGTCGTCTGGGGTCACGCGAGGGCACCTGGAAGTCCCAATGGGGGTGAATTGCTCTCACCTTCATCCTATGATGCTTAAGTCACTGAGGACATGGAAATGAAATCATGGAGGAATTTAAAAGGGTCTGGCCCTGAAGGAGAGACCCTGCGGACCCACCAAAGAGGGCTCGCTACAATGGTGAGCAAAGAGAAGCCCAATTTAAAAGGTTTTTCCTAAGTTCCCAAAAGAAATCTCACCAAAGTTGAAGGAAGCGCCACCGAGATGATTTATTGCGATTCAGCTAAAAAGGATGCAAAGCAGCAATATTTCACCGAGCTGAGCATAACATGTATACAAATAAAGGCCATTTTTATACAGAAACAGAGTTGCCAAGTTTGAATCTCCCACTCCCCGCCCCTCTGCTGGCTTGATGGTGATTGGCTGGCGCTTGAACAGCTGGAAGGAGGCTCGCCACCTCCTGAGCACCTGGGCCAATCGCTGGGCTTCTGCCGCCTCGGCGTCCTGATGAATCAGGAGAGAGGGAGGCGGGACGAGAGGGAAACAATGGATTCTTGAGAGGATTATGGAGGTAGGAAATGTCCATGCGGCCAGCGAGTCCTGGGGCCTGCGAGCCAGCCATTCCTATTGTCATTGAGTGGCTGCAATAAACATTGATGTTTGGCGATCCTGCCAAGATCTGGATTTTTCCAGTGTGGAGATATGGGAACAATGGGGAACTTTGGCTGAAGTCTTTAGTGAAAGAAAAGTTGAATGGGTGACAGATTAGGATGAGGTGCGGCTTTCCGAAGGCCCCCTCCATCCTATTGAGATATGATCATAATTGCCAAATGACTGCTTCCTCTGGGGGGCCAACTCCGAGCCCAGAGGTCATGGTCCTTTGTTATTGTCCATGCAAATAGTGTCTTTTGATAAGGGTCCTTTTCAACTGGAGATTTCCTTCTTTCCAGGGTCATGCAGGGGTGGCTGCCTTATATTTTTATACATTTTTCAATAAAGGTTAAATGGGCAAAAGGATCAGGAAAAGGTCAGATACACAGGGAGGAATATAGAAATATAGAAATCATGTTATAGAAAACATACCCACTTATCCCTCCCACCAGAGTCCCATAGAAGTTCAAGAGAGCACATAAGTGTAAAGGGAGGGGGTTTCTCAGCAATAAATGTGCTACTTCTGCTATATATGAAACATAGGGCATAAAACCTTGATTAAATGTACACACTGTCTAACATGGGAAGGGCCCTAGTTGTTGTTAGTGTCTTGGCAAATTGACCAAGGCTTAACTCTTATTATCCAATCTGGTGTCCTTGTCCTTAGCAAAACTATAAGTTACTATCTTTTATGGGGGGGAGGGGTCATGTTTGACTTCAGAAACGATGAGCCAGAAAACTTTTAGTTTTAGGACAGAATCTACAATAATAATAATCATCATCATTATCAGTAGCAGCATCAACTTTATTTATACCCCGCCACCATCTCCCCAAAGAAGACTCAGGGCGGCTAACATGTGGCCAAGCCCAAAAATAATACAGCAAAGTTAGACATAAAACAACAGAAAAATTGCATCACAACAAAATACATAAAGTAACAAAATAAAATAACGTAAACAGTGCAAAATAACATAATAAAATCAAACATAAAGGGCGGGTTAGCTTAGAAGAGGCCGCTATCCTGTATCCATTTATGTGGGAGTAAGACCTGTTACAATGACTGGGACTCAAGAGAAGGATCAACGTGGGGTTTTCTGGACCTACCACCCTTTATTTGCTCCACAATGCCACCAAGTAGAGCTTATTCCTGTTTCCATATTTGATAATCGGGGTGGGGTTTCTATACCATCCCCAAAAATATTTTATTCCTAGTACAGTATATTCTGGCGTATAAGACTACTTTTTAACCCAAGAAAATCTTCTCAAAAGTCAGGGGTCGTCTTATACACGGGTGTAGTCTTATGTATGGGAGTCATCTTAACTCTATATTTTAACTGGAAAAGTTGGGGGTCGTCTTATACGCCCAGTCGTCTTATATGCCGGAATATACGGTACTTTATACTTCTCTTTATGCTAACTCCCTTCATTCATTCCTCTATTGTTTGCCTTGTAAGAAAGCCTTCTTTCTGCTATTTATTTTGTAACTAGCTGTACCTGCCACGCGTTTATTTTTTAAAATTATTATTTTATTATTTACATTATTTCTATCCCGCCCATTTCAGCCCGAAGGCGACTCAGGGCAGTATACACAGTCGGCACAATTCAATGCCATAAAAATACATACATTGATAAGCAAAAAAAGAAACATTATAGTGCATATAAACATAAAGATAGTGCATAATAATAACAATTTAAAAGAAACAAAAAACTATGTCCTCTCATTTATATGCTGCCCTTCTCACCCCAAAAGGGACTCAGAACACCTTACAAGATATATATACATACAATATATTATATTATTAGCATGT